TCTCTCTCTCTCTCTCTCTCTCTCTCTCTCTCTCTCTCTCTCTCTCTCTAACACTTTTGGTTGCTTTCTTAGCGCCACTGAAGACCACTGAAGAAAGACATAGACTGAGAGAGAGAGAGAGAGAGAGAGAGAGAGAGAGAGAGAGACTCGTAAAGTAAAATCATTAAATCAAAAGTCATCATAAAATGAAGACATAAAAAATACTGTTATATTTTGAACAATAGAGAGGAAAAGAAACATGAATTAAAACTTCACATAAATTTTAAGCAATAATTTTAAATTTAGACTTAAGTTTCGATCGCCTAAAAAAAGGCGACAAAAAATCAATGAATTTGACGCACAAAACACTGGCTTTACGTACAGAATATTCTGTATACAGAATTTATATATAATATTAATTTATTATATATTCTGTGAATTGTATACATGTATGTATAATATAATCAATAAAACTTTGTGCTGTTGTATAGCATTCATAGGGAATCACTAGAGAGAGAGAGAGAGAGAGAGAGAGAGAGAGAGATCTATGTTTGAAGGCTTAAAGTAAGCATTTGTGTCATACAAATGGTATCCGAGTGTCAATACATGTCAAAAACACATACATAACTGTTTGCCTGTCTATTGGCATCCCATCCCTACCCCCTCCTATACCCGTCCCTCTCTTCTCCATAGGACTTAACGCTTCACTTAAATTTGTCTTAAAAATTATCCCAAAAATAAATATCAGAAATAAATACAAGAAAGAGATCACAAGAAAAAAGAGATATAATATAACAATAAAAAGACTAGTCTTTCAGATAAAAGTATCGGAATTTCTGGTATCGATTGCAACATTGGGTAACAATCAATAACCAGGATTACGATAAGGGGAAGGGGGAGTCGGCGGCGGGTAGTGGTGTCGGGCAATACATACTCCCAGTACTCTTTGACGGGCGACACGGCCTCGGCGTGCGATGTGTTATCTATAAACGACATACAGTTGTCGGTATTCCACGTGTTGTTGCAACTGCTCCAGGGCAGTTCCGCCGTGAACGAACTGACCAGGTAGAATAGTGTCCACGCGATCAGTATTATGTAATATATGTTGCATAAACCGATCATGGTCATCGACGCGAACCCGATTCCTATACCATAAATTGTAAAATTAATTACTTATTACCTAGATTTTATTATTACCATGTTTTGTGATTATTTATAAATTAAAGTGATCATGGTCATATATTTGTTGTGTTAAACAATGGGTACCGACCTTTGAATATGGGCACTAAGTTCCAGATGGCAATCCCGCCGGTGTTCAGATACTGGCCCAGCGATACCTCCAGCAAAAACATCGGTATTCCCACGAATACCACACATATATAGTTGGGTATTAGGAAAGCGCCTGAATTAATGCCCATGGTTTGTAAATAGCCGCCACATAAATGAAACATGAATGGTAAAATTAATTAGCGATTTGTTTTTAACATAGTTATTTGAATTGATAAAACATAACTACTATTCAATACATTTGCAAAAACTGAAAACTGAACTCATTTTAAAAACTAAATTCAAAATTAAAACACAAAACAAAAACGACTACCAATTGAATTGAAATAAATAAAAATAAATCAATGAATAGTGAATACAAAACGAAATGTACATCTTCTCCGTCGGGTTTACCCCTCAAACGTCTCGGGAATGAGACATAAAGTGGCGGATATTATGATACTTTTATAATTGATTTATAAATCATATCGGTAGAGCGCAGCGCGAGAATATCCAGGCATACAGTAAAGTTGCCTGTCCAGTTCCCGGTGCCCGGTGTGTGGGTGTGGAGTGGATAATGTGGGTTATTTGGCTACTAAATTCTGGATACCAAACGACGCTTGCATTCGGCTTACAATAAAATTATTATTATTTTTTAGATATGAATATTCCGGGTCCAGAATATTCTGTCATATTTGTTGGCCAATGCGAATGCAAGGCATCATATACTGTGTGCTGTTTTGTTTGCTTATGTCCACTACCAATAGAGAAGTCAATTTGAACCACAAGAATATTATACACTAAATATATACTACATATTAATAAACATTAAATAATACATGAGATATATTAAGAATATTATTGAGAAATAATATTATGATTATTATGTAAATCACAGAATAAAAGCGGATTAACGGCAGA